AAGCGTTGATCGGAGCATCTTTTCGAGCACTGTTCAACAGACTCCCAGATATGTCGCCACTTCGCTCCTCTGTGAGTCTCGCCTTCGAATAACCAAACCGTAAGACGAGATACCTGCAACGCACTATCCGTACCATGATTATCCAGACGTTCTCAGTAGGATTCAGTACCGGGCTGCTTTAAAAATTGATATCCGTTATAATAACTGAACAGTTTTGAGGCGGGTGATTTTGATGCATGTTTGTTTGGTGTTGATTGCCACGTCCCTTCTAAACTATCACAAAAATTGTGGAAAGCTGGTTATTTGATTGATTCCAACCCATTATTCCAGATGTGTCCGTCATTTTGCTAAAATGGAATCCCGAAAATACATAGAGCTGCCACGTGAATTTCGGCGACGGAAGGCTTCCTTCTTTCCTGAATTCACGATGCACTATGCTTACCCAACTGGACTGTTCAAATTCAACTTCATGCCACCAAATTGCGCCTCTGAGTGAAGTGATCTTCAGCCTTCCTCAGTCCCTTCTGCATGGAGGTTGTTTTCAAACACCACTTTATCCATCCTTGTTTAATTTGAATGAGAGGCAGCTTGAAGTAGCTACTAAACTAAGCCATGTTGAGCTTGAAAGCGTTTTCCTAGCCAATCAACTAGGTCACATTTTTAAAAGCCTTCATCAGCACTCGTTTGATTGCATCTTTATACATTTTCGACTGAACTCTCATATGTTCAAAGAATGGTCTAACGGGGAACAAATGAATGGCTGTCTGTTGCGCCCCTTCTAGGTCTCTGATGATTCCCGTGTTTTAAATCTAAACATGGAACCCCTTGCATTCTGTAGAGCACATTTTGCAAGTAAACTTAACCTACAATAGGTAATATGACTGACATGTTCATGAGACAGTGAAAACCACTTAGAATAAACTCTTCTCTTCCAACTAGCTGTGTCAAGAATCTGCGTCCAAAATATCTTACAGACTTGTTTCATTCGAAACTGCGTTTTACAAACTCGCAGCATGTTATGTTTTCTCCCTGGGGGTCTGCGCATTTGGCCTCCACAGTTGATATGTATTCAGTAATTATTAGTTCTTGTTTCAACTCAGTTCGATTGTGGGGATTCAAAGTTGAAGAAGGGGATATATAAAAAATTGCGTGTCATCGCAAAACTTCCTATTTCTGTTTTTCCGTGAATGCTCAAGGCTCATCAAGTGTACTCCTAAACGGGTGTCCGCTGATTTGCTGAAGTTGATAGATTGATGGATTTTCTCTCAAAAGATCACACGAGATTTTATATTATCAACCCATCATCACTGATGTGAACAGCGGCAGTAATATTCTGACTAATTCCCGGATGGTCATAAAATAGGCAGGATTTGTGAACCAATGATCAGCGGTTTAGTTAACCGCTCCAGTAAACTTACCAGAACCTCGTCCAATTTACAACATGGTGACATCTGCGAAACGGAAAAGCCTCTATCGCGGTAAAACTTCCGATTACAAAAGAATTGGACCAAAAACGTGTCAGCTACCAAAAAAATGGACATCGGAACCTGGGGTTGTTTATTTCAGGTGCAGTCATGCACAGGATTATTTCTGACAAAACTCATTCCACTTCACCGGCAACAGATGATAGATAACAACAATTACACAATTGTTGATAGATGAATTGTCTCTGCCACTGTTCACCAAACTGACTATAGGGTAGATCTTGTCCAATACTTCATTTTACTATTCACGGTTTTATGTGCGAGCATAATCTACATTGACAGGTTTCCGTTTCATACACTTGCGTGTGCGCGCACGCAGCCACACACATTCGGCAACACAGGTTCACACTTCCGTTGCCAAGATACGTTGTCCCCTTTCGTCTAATCTCCTGACCATTCCACACCCTAGCTGATTGACAGCTCTGTGTAGTTTATTTAGACCCCTTCTCCCAACCCCACCGTACACAATCACCGGCGCATTCTAGCATATGTTCGAAATCTCGACATGATGGTTCATATTACACACGACAGATGTGAGGATTACAATCGTCGAATGTTGCATACATAGAAAGTGTCAGTCTCATGGTTGTGCGGAACAACACCAGTTTGCATTTAAATTAGAATACTGATTGGTTTTGTAGCCCTCGGATTAGTGAATAATAAAGTATATCCAAAGTGGGTAAATGTGTTCGGGAAGAATTGCGCCAGGACAAGCATGTTCACTTAAGTCTCTTGTGAAAGCGAAGACAGTGTGTCGATCTGTGAAGTTTAGGATGAAGCCACGCTGATGCGCTTCCGAGGAGCATTGTGGTTTTAGGATACTGTGTAATTCTTCCGGCAACTACGCTTCATTGCACGAAAAACTAAGTGGCTATAGATGCTATTTTCGCTTAAGTGTAGCGGGGAATTAAGGTATTTATTTATTCACTATCTGACAAACTTGGAGAAAATTGGAGGTGAGTTTTCCACTAGTATTTCGTTTAACTCTAAAAAAGGTCCGGTCGGTACTATGGGAAACATAAAACGTCTCCGTTCCCGATAGAAGCCTTTGTTGGATTAGCTTCAACTCTTTTTTTCGGTTGTTCATCTCTGCAAACATGCAGTTGCCCAGTGTGTGTCGCATCTCCGAGACTCCACATTTTTATATTCTAATTCAATCAAGGTAAATTTTTATTTTTAGAATATTTCCAGGCTATCCAGCTTTTTATCTGACTGGACATTCATAGTGTGAAGGAATGCGATGTAATGAAATTCTTGAAAAAAGATAAACGAAACAATGTTCAATAATCTGCAGACTGTTGTTTTACGTGCACAGTACGTTTCCACTAGAATAGGGCTTCTAGAGATAAAAAGATTAGTCATCTTGGAGGATAGAAAATGCTAAGTGCTTTCGAATTATTTTGCACGTGACCAAAAAACCGACCTCCTAAGAGTGATTTTATGGGTTCATGTGGTTGAGCAGAATGTGAGCCAGAATCTTACTTTTAGTGGGGAGATGATTGCATGCTCTTTGTATATCGGTATTCCTTTCTTTTAAGCAGTGACACAATTATAGCAACTTCGAAGTTTTGCACCTCGCCCAGCCAAGCGACCATCTGTGTGCGCTCTCATAAAAGACGCTACATATTTTCAGTTTATCTTGTGATATTCAGAAGCCTCTCCGTGCACTCGAGCTCAAGAAGGAAAGCACCTCGCCCAGCCAAGCGACCATCTGTGAACGCTCTCATAAAAGACGCTACATGTTTTCAGTTTATCTCGTGATATTCAGAAGCCTCTCCATGCACTCGAGCTCAAGAAGGAAGAGCAAAACTCACTTTTAACGTCAACCTGGGGGTATCACAGACCATCGGCCATCCAAAGTTAGTTCGCCCCCCCCCTCCAAAGCTACTACCATTCAGGCAATCTGTCTTAATTGCAGAGTCAGTGATTCGAAGCTTCAGTTCACGTAAAAAAGTATGTGTCAGCAATGACTGTTCTGTCAACTACTTATTCTGCAGTTATTGTCCAAACATATCTGCATCAAACTTTCTGCTTCAGGTGTTGGTTCTACTCAACGCGCGCTGCCACTCTTTCTCTGAGCTGTTGGCCCCACATACTGGCAAACCATATAGGTAAATATGACGGAATCTTAAGTAGTACCAACTACTCTATGAGTCGGTTTGTCTCTGATTTCCACAGTCTACTTCCGTGGAACTTCGGCAGAAATACTTCGTTCTGGATTGCTGTTAGCTGTTGCGAGTGGATACTTATAAGAAGACTAGACTCACATTTTGAGTGAATTATTCGTTGCGCGCTCATAATCGCAAGGACGTGCATTTGCAAGTTGTCCCGTTTATGGCACACTAGTTACCTTTATGATGTTATGATCTTTGGTGTTGCTTATATTAAAGATATTAATTTTTTGGCAGCCTAAATACTTCATGTTCTGCTTCCCTTCTTTTTTGAATGTTTTTGTTTCCAGGTACTTAAAACTAACAGACGAAGCTAAATGGCTCATGGCTCACTATATAGATGCACCGAGTGTAGTGAAGTTCAGCGCAACAAATGCGCAATCATTTCTGCTGATTAGCCAAGGTGATTTAAATTAAGAACTGGTGATATTATGAGTTTACACATCTTCATTCATTGTGAAGACGACTGCTGTCGAAGTAATGCTTCTAACTAAGAACTACGTGACTAAAGTACTTGGTGCTTAGTAGCTGAGTTTTAAGGAATCTGTCTGAATAGGTCTATGTGCGGAGCGAACCGCCCCTTGATTTAGGTGGATCACCATAGTCTATGTGCGGAGCGAACCGCCCCTTGATCTAGGTGGATCACCATGGGAACGCCCAGCTGTATGCTGTCTAATAAAATTGTGTAATTTGCCACGGCTCAAATATGAATCATAGCCCCGATAACTGGGCAGCAGAAGTCTTGGGTTTTACCTGTTCGTCGTGCATGGTGGTCGAATTCACAGTGTGTAACCAGAAATGGTTGGGACTAGTCCTGTTTGTTCACTCCGAATGAACTTTTGGCTTTGAGTCTGTCGGAATATTAGCTTTGTCCTCATGACAAATACAATATCCACCTACCAGAGTGTTCCACCAGAAGATCCCTCAGGATAACACCAAGAAAAATGTTAATGAAACGGATTATTCTTGCATGCGGTTACTTCAGGTTTGGCGTGACATTCGGAAAGGGGCAATAAATCATGTTTACAGAAATAGTTGTATAAATCAACTATAAAGGACCTGGATGATTATTTCCAGCCCAAAAGGTACCAGGCTTTGCTGAATACGGTAGTTGGCAATAGACGTGTACAAGTCTGTTGGTTTTGGTTGTGTTGGTCAGGTTCAATAAGATGACTTTTGTTGTCCACACTAGAAAAAAATACAAGCATCAAACATCAAGTTTTCTACGAAACTTCATTATGTTATTCTGTAAAAATCAGTGTGGGTCCTCCATCGTTTATATACAAATGAGAATTTCGTTATGACTTATATGTGAACTGTTTTCTTTTCACGCCTATACTTTCAGGTGACAAGCCGTATTCTTGCTCCGCTTGTGGTGTATCATTCACGCAAGGCTCCTCGTTAAAACTTCATATCAAGTCACGGCACCACGACAATGGTAACTACTTTTCGTTGACCAGGAAGCCAGGCAAAAACAACCTTACCAAATTATGGACGCGTGTACTGAAAAAAGATTTGCCGAAGTATAATTCGTTGATGATGTCTCAACAAACGGGAAGTCCCAAGGAAGACCTCTCGCGAATACTCTTTTCAGCTAGCCGCTCAAACACCTGGAGTACACTGAATCCATGTAACTCAAAGTCCTTCGTGAAAATCCAGAAATCCAGAAACTACATAAGGCAGGCAAAATTCATCGACATGTGCTCCAGCTCCATTTTTCAGTTTCCTCTTAAAGACAGTTTGCAGAAGGACTATCCAAATTCTATATTGTCGACGGATAGGCTTGAAGAAGATGTTTATTCCAATCACGAGTTATGTGGTGTTGGTGGCATCACTGAGTTGAATCCTTTATCAGATTGGTGCGAATTCGGTGGTGAGGACAAAAGTAGAAACAGAAAAGACAGGAACACCACTGCAGAACAACAAGCAGTGAGTTCGTGTGAATGTAAACCTTTGCTCTCAGACCAAGTGTATTCGGGTTCGCCATATCATTTGTCTAGTTGCAAAAACTCGCGAACAGACGAACTGTCTAAGCTCTATACAGGAGCAAGAAATCGGTCATCGCTCAAAGAACCACTGCATGCATTTGCCGCCGATGTTGTAATAAATCCATCCCTTCATTCGCCACAGGGCTATTCACCCGCCACGAGCCACCCAAGAGAATCAGCAAAAGAGACAAAAGACTCATCTTCCGGTTGGTTTGCCTCCAAAGGAGCTGCTTCAAGAACGGACGACTTGAAATGCGAAAGGGCTGACTGGAGGATTAAACAGCTGCCATTTTCTATCGCAGCACTGCAAAGTTAGCAAGAAAAGTCGAAAGCATTCGAGTGACATTCATTCCTTTATTTCCGAGCTATTCTCTGTGAAATGATTTAAACCTCATGTTCTCTACAGTGACCAGATGCTTTCTGAGTTTGAAAAGGTTTTGAAAAATATGGTGGGGGAACGGTATCAATCTCCATGGCGAAATGATTAATCTATATTCTATCGCAACTTCCTCAGTAACTTTTACTTATATCTCTTGACTGCACACTAATACAACCTATACGCATCGGTGTTCCTCTGACTTGTGCTCTTCCATTAGATCAAGCAGTGATGCACTTGTTTAAGATAATATATATCTGGGTAAAAACGAACCAAACTGTCTGAAAAGTTGCTTCAACTGGTAGTACCGAAACTAACTTGTCTTTCAATAGTCAGCCACGTATGTTCTGATCTAAATTAATGGCTTTCCATTTGCACAGTAATTCCTAAGTTCACGCGATCAATCTCTCCATATTTATGCCTAACTCTATTTAGTTTTCCGTCTCGTTCTATAACGTTCGTCATCTTACACGCTACAGAGATTAATCTTATCCGAAGGCATCCTATGACATTTTTCTATTAAACTGTAATTGAGACATACAACGGCCTACTATACATCTAGGACTTGGATACACTTCCCCAAATGATCTTCAAACTGCGTTTCATTCGTCACGTTACCTACACTTAACTTAAAACATTATTCTTCCTGAGATCTGCTGTATGTATATTATGAAAACGCGTTAGTCCTCATGATGGAAAATACGGTAAGGTTGGAAAACTGATAATGTTTGGAATCCAGTCAGGCTGTGATCATACTGTGATAGTGAGAGAGATTAGCTTTAGTAACAACATTGTTTTCGTCGATTTCGCATCAACCGAGGTAATGCATTTGAGTGGTCTACCACAATGCGCGTGACAGAACTTCAGAATGTAAATTTTTAAACAGCAAGCAAGTGGAACAACTGATTTGATGTGGCAGATGCAAAACAAGAACAAGTCATTCGTTTAATAACAATGAAAATACTTTACAGATGATAAACCGTTTAGCAGTTAGAAACAAGACTATTTCTAACCTGTGTTGCCCTGGTGTTCACACGATTGAGCACACCATTCGTTGAGTTGTTTAGCAGTTAGAAACAAGACTATTTCTAACCTGTGTTGCCCTGGTGTTCACACGATTGAGCCACACCATTCGTTGAGTTAATGGCTAACATCCGTCCTCAGAGTAGTTTGTCACAGACAGTGAACCGGCGCAGTGTAGGTAGCCTTCAACGATGTTTGCTTTGCGCCGCTTTTGTAGCCAGAAAAACGTCTTCCAACGGATGCAACCCCAGGGGGGAGGCGATAGGCCCAAAATTATCAACTCGCCCAAATAATGGCCCAGAACTGTTAAATCATGCAAGAACAACTAGGCATTTGGAACGCACAAGGTATGCACACGATGGCTGGGTAGCCCGATCCAATTTTAAGGCGATCATGAGGCACAAGTAGGTTGTGATAGGACGGCAGTCAGGTTCACGGGCTTTCACGAAAGGGACAAATGAAGACTAGCTGGTTAGTCAGCTTATCCGGAAGAAAAACCACAGCCGAGACGGTTCTAGAATTGGAACCCATCAGCTCAATGTTCCGTCAAACAGTTACACCACAACACATTTTTATTCATTATCCAGTAGATGGGAATTATGTTGATCAGTTATAAAGGGTCCCATAGGTTTGCACAATGTGAATGGCCGTTTACGATCTCTATCAGTTGTAATTGTAATCAGAATAAATACCAACATCCTTGGCACTCGATCGAAAGTAGAACTTGAAGAATCAACACTTTTCGTAAACTAGCCAGACTAAAAATTGATTATTTACATTCAGCAGAGGATTTCCGACCTCGCACGTAATATTTCATCGCAAGTATAGCGTGTGTTTATTATTTCATTCATTTTAATTACGAAGGAAGATGTTGAGTCGACCCATAGGCCGTGTGAATGTCTAGAGTGTATTCCTGTCCAAGGCATTCCAGTTTTTGAAACGGTCGGTCTGGACCAGTTCTTTTCCGCGTGAGTGTCTCGTGTTGACCAGGAGCCAAGCTATTCATCAGACGCATCCTTACCCTCAAGCCTAAACAGCAGATTGCCTCTGGTTTGCGCGCATTTGTACTCTACAGATGAGAACTGGCTCTAACTTACAAGTTAAGGTTCAAAACGATAGATCTAGTGGAGTTTTCACCTGGTCGAGTTCCAGCTACAAAGTGAAGTTGGGACTGTCTTATGTGATTAGTGAATTAGCCTGCAAAGGTGTCATAGGTTGAAGTGCATAGTTTCTCAGGAAAGGTGCCTGTACTTAAAATCAGCATTCTGTCCTTTGCTCCCGAACAAATATAAGTGCACTCAAAGCTTGCAACTGCAGCTGCGTCACAGCTGAGCCGAAATGACTTTCTGGTATAACGAGCAATGAATTCTATAGGTTAACAATCCCTATGGACTTTCCACCACTGTGGATTCTCTGGGAAGCTGACATGCATTACAAAACGAAAGTCGTGTATCGGGATGGCACAATAAAGTCAGCTTTCCCGTTATTTGTTTACAGTGTACAAGAACCCAGAGTTGAAGATAGCCTTTTAGGTTCAGCGTTCTATGACTGGTTGCATGGTTTGTGCGTCGGTCAGTTCTCCCCTCAGAATTGTACCTATGATTAGCCGAATCCTTCTCTTATTTACACAGTAATAGTCATCAAGGTTGGTTTTTAGGTGGTTCAACGACGGGGAAATTCAAGGAAAGTCTACCTTATTGGCCTGTGTTTAACCTGTAGCCCACCCGTTCTCAAAGGAACAGTGAATGACCAAAAGTAATTTGATTTATCTTACAGTACCTTCTTTTCTTGACCGAATAACTTTGCGCTGTAACGAAAAATCGATGTATCTGTTTGTCAAAAGGTATCTCAGATCATTCTGTGAGAAAGGATGTGTTGAAGCTTCCAAGGTCAATTAATATCAGAAACCAACAGGCATACGACCACAATCGTACCCTGCAACTTTCGACAGATGGAATTAAAACTTGGTCCGTGTTGGTCACTTATGGTAGTGTCACTAGAGTGCATCAATCACGCTCACATAGTTAAAAATAATTCAAACCATTGGTGGTATTTTTGAAAACCTTCCTTGATTTCGCAGTCAATCTCTTATATTTTCTCTAACTTGTTTGCGTCTCATTGATTTTAGTTAACTCAACTCCTCGTTTCTCTAAATCTCCAAATACCCGAGGTCCACGAAAGTTTCGTACATCAACTATCCACGCTTTTGGAGTGTGCTTCCTGATCATTCTGCCATATTTCACAGGGGACTTCAGCTCCCTGTGCCCAAGTGACTAATTAGATGAAAACTGGATATTTCGGGCAAAGGATTGGTCGATCCTTAATACCGATGAAGCTCAAAAATTGGCTACAAACATTTACTTGATGTCTCCGGATTATTCAGATACAATCCGCAGTCTGAACTTCGATGTTCTTTGAAATAAGGTGATTTTATCAGCAAAAAAATTATCTCGTCCAAAGAGAAGATTTCGGTTTTTTAGTCAGACGCCACTGCCAGCTAAACAACGTTAGTTTTGCACGAATTAACTTCGCTTAAGAATAAGGAAACCAAATAAGTGCGTATTTGTAAAGTGAGGTAGGGAATGAACTGGAAGCGAACTTGATTCTTCGTTTATGACATTATCCATTGGAGATTGCTGTACAGTGGTCAGTTTGTTTTTGTGTTGGCAGCCTTGTCGAAGATACCGAAGTATTCGCGTTTATGTGTAATTATTTCTAAGATCAATGGACCCAAGAGGTTCCACCAAAAACTACTGAAAATGTTATACCAAGAAAAGTAATGAAGTCAATCCCAATTGAACTTTTTTAGGTGATGATATAACTAAACTCAACATTTCACATCTCTCATTCTTACAAAGCTCTGTAGAATCTGAGTTATGAACATCACTTCACTGGCGTTCCACCAAAGAACAAACTAGAATAAACTAGTAGTATCACCAGCCATTTTCAAGTCATTATGGCCAGTAGCCATAATTTCGGAGTGAAAGCAATCAACTGAACTAAGGCGTTCCACATCTCTCGACTGAAATGCTTGTATAAACAGTACACTTGATCATCTTTGCAAGTATGTGGATGGGTCGGTCTCTTTGACCAATTTGCTTCTTCCCTGACACCAGTAGTATCCCGATTTTCGACGTTGTGAAGTGCAGAAGCCATGCTGTTGTATCCGGAATAGCAGAAAAGCAACTAAGCGAATTACATCATTTGGAGTTGCGTAAAGCGTAAGGTGTCTTGATTTACCGATGACCGACCGAAATCATGATCAGTGAACATTTAATATCAATAACCCTTCAACGGTCAGAATCGAACAGTTTCATCCAGGTAAATCGCCTTAAATTCCGGAGCTAATATTTTATGTTTAGTAATAAATAAAAGTACATCGACGTTGTACAAGCCAGACCCATATTGACACCTGATCTTCACACTGTGCGTAACAAAATGAAGCATGCAATGCGGAACTCAAAAAATGCAGGCACCATGTCAGCAGGCTGAGAACAGGAACTATGTAAGCAATATACTTTCCCACAAAGAAGCGGATTTTCAACCAAAGGTGAGCGCTTAGTCTGGACACTTCAGCGTACTGCTCTGTATAAGATCTCCTACAAAAAGCGTTATCACGCTGTTAGTTTTGATCAACCGACTTGGGTCCTTGGTGTCTGCTAACTGTTGAGCGATGAATCAAATCTCCTCCTTGTCGCAAAACTTGTTCTCTTATTTTCGTCCAGTTAAACTTACAAAATAATTTTTGTTCAGTGGTGCATGCTCTGCTTAAGCAAAAGTCGTCATATGTAAAGCATTTTACGGCACGTTGTTTTCTCTGTCCAGCAGCTTAGTTTTGGAGACTCCTATCCAAAAAAATATTGCGGGAGAACTTGAGGTGACCGGACAAAATGTAGCTATTATGAACTTTGGCAGCT